AGCCAAGTCAAATGATGCAGACCGGGACGCCCCTACTTTCAGGGCAGGGTTGCCTGTGCACGCCAGATGGGAAATGTGGGCTTAAAATATTGCCCTGCTTCCTGGCTGAAGTTGAAGCACCCCTCAGTCTTCAAGAAGGGCAACATCTGGTGAAATGTGGCTCAGTGCTGGCCTCCTTTGGCATTTCCAGAGATTGTTTTGATGAGTAAAACTCAAAATCTCTGTGCACCAAAGATGACCTGAGGTGGGTAATTCTCTTCAGCGTCTGTTCACTTGTACAGCTCTTTGCAGCTGATGAGGCTGGAAGGGATGGACGTCTCTGTACCAGGCAATAAGCTTGTTCACTGAGGAAGATGTCTGGGAGCACAGAGCAGATCTGTCTTCACCTGCTATTATGGTCCCTGTGCTTCTTCACGAGGCCAAATGAGAGGAAAACATCTGGGATTCTTACAAAAGGAGACAGTCAGTACCTGCCTTGCAAGGACAAATCTCCCTTCCACCCCAAACCACATCCCTGCTTAGCAAAACCCAGCTTAAATTCAGTGTGAATCTTCTTCCCCAAAGCACCAAACTTGGCCAGTTATAACTTCTAACTTCAGAGTTATGACTTCTTTGCATCTGTAGGAGTTTTCTCTTCAATGCAGAAAATCCTGCTGCTGAGGAAGAGCATAGGGGTGTCTGCAGCTATTTCTGTCCTAGCCGCATGGTGAAAATCATCACGTCTCTCCACCTCCAGAGCCCTTTTCTCTGGCATCCCTCAAGCTCCCTCCTCCCCCGGGTCCCGCAGAACCACCTGCGCCCATCGCGAGAGGAGCAGCGCGCACCCAGGAGTCAGCAGCACGTCAGGGCACCCGGCTTGCCCCTGCTGCCCAGCTGGCAGTTCAGTTCACCCATGCGTTTACTATGTGCTGTATTGATTACTGTGAAATGTTTATGTCCAAGTGCAAGCCCATTGCCTTTAGGAGCAGAGCAGCTTATTCAAGGAACGGGTCAAATCAAAATGCTTCACTCCTCCTCTCTACCTCCCTCCGTGGGATGAGGCCCCAGGGCATCCTGGCACCAAGTGCCTTTCCCTGGGCAGCACAGCCACCAGCCTGAGAGCCAGCGTCCCCGCTGCGGGGAGAGGACAGGGATCTCTCAGCAGGCAGCCTCAAGACCCCAAGGCTTCCCCCAAAAAAGAGCCAGCAGACTCGGTTGCCAGCCCCCCTCCCAAGGCGCTGCATGGTGGAGTGAGAAGCCCCGACCACGGCCGATGGCCAGCTCACCTCCCCCGGGCAGGGCTCAGGGACAAAGAGGTGTCTCTCCCCCTCTGTACATGTTGCAGAGTGCAGATGCAAGGTGCTCAAATAATGCAGTGATGAAAATTGTTTAGGACAGCAGAAGGACAGGCAAAGCTAGATAAGACAAAATATAAATCTAACTCAGCCTGGCTCTGTGTAAACTAAACCATCATCATCCTCTTTACCGCTCTGCTAGCATGTACGTGCTGCCATGCTCACTCGGGAGGAAAAGGAACATCTTTTGTATGGCGCTATTCAGTGTGGTTTGACATTTTGTTTCGCAGATGCAGCCACGGAGCAATGTTAGTCTATTGTGAAGGTTTATTTAGACAGGTACAATTACAGCTCGGCAGTGAAGGTGCCTTTGATCCCAGCATCCCCATTGTTCCTGAGGCTTTTCATCCCGCCCGGTACGCAGGTAGAAGGCCTGTGGCTGAGACCTGCCTTTGAAATTGTTTCTTTTCCATTTCCCCTTAATTTTCATGGTGTCTTCTGCTGATGAACATTATTGATGAAGGCTCTGGCATTCAGTTGTGCTCAAAATACTGATGCTTGGCAAGTGTCTGCCCTTCCCCAGCTGTGCAGCAGCAGCCACGTGCAGCAGGAGAGCAAGCGGTAGGCCCAGAGCGGTCTGTGTGGCTCCAGCAGAGGAGAATCCCCTTGTGCATCCCACTGTGCATGGTGCCCACGGGGAAGGACCCGCTCCTGACTGCTCATCCTTTTGCAAAGGACTTTGCTGCAGTGCAGGTTCAAGTGTCAGCAGCTCCCAGCTTCCTGCCTCCCAAAATCTCCAATGCGGGACTCCGCTTCTTGGGAAAATGAGGTCTTTCAGATCTGATGTATGTGGAGATGAATGGGAGAGAGGGACGGTGAGTTCTAGCAGAGGGAAGGAGTGACGTCCTATTCTAGGAGTAGCTGTGTGGCCAGTGACAGGTTCTGTAGGGTAGTCTGGGATTTTAGTGTTTTAGTGTTTAGTGCTGGATTTTGCATTTAGCTTGTTACTACGAGACCAAGGAGGAAAGATGCCCAGATATAGTGTTCACCATGTACTGGGAGTTCGAAAGACAGACCAGAGAGAGGAAGGCAAAGGAATCCACCAAAAGCTGTGGAACACAAGCCCACTGTGACGCAGACCTTTGCAGCATGAGAGAACATGCAAGGGAGGCACTGCTGTGTGCATGTAGGCATTTCGTCTCCTACAGGCCCCTGTCAGACAGAATGATGGATGAAGCAGATCCTTTTGATCGATAGGCATTTTCTTCTGTCAGATGGGAGGAAGTATGACTAGACCAGTGTAGGCAAATTGCAGGCAGCAATTGCATTGTAATTGCAAGAACTGCAGACACAAAAACCACTCGTTGCAAGAGCTGTCCAAGAATTAATGACCCAAGGTGTTAGGAAGCAATGCTCTCCATTAAAAACTGGGAGAGCCACATTTAGTTCAGACAGAGCCTTGTCAACATTTCTGAATGCACTGAAGGATTTGTCCAGAGCTACCGGCTTCTTTGAGCCTTAATTGCCCTCATTGAAGTTGTGCTAAGTTCAGTAGACAGCTCTTTCTAATTAAGTGCAAACTCTTTCTGATGCTAAATAAAAACACATCTTGACTTTGCCTTTCTCCTATCTTAGCACCTATAATGGGCTTGCGCAAAAATAAGTGTCTTGCTGGATGCAAACCCATGGCTATGTCTGACCCCTCCAACATAACCCCAGAGACCTTCCTACATTAAGCAGGAGTGGATTTACTGACATTAGCACTGAAAACCAGCAGGGCAAAAGAAACAGTCACGCCTTTGCCTTTGCCTCTGGGCTGGGATCATTCATTCCAACACAGGACAAAACCTGCTTCCTTCTCGGGTACCCTTCGCCCTGAACCACCCGTACACCCTCTCCTGGTACACCGGTACACCAGTACCCCAGCAACCCACCTCCAGAAGGACACGTGCCTGGCAGTGCTCAGGGACTTTTTGCCTGAAAACCTTGTAGAGAGGTGGGCTACACCCAGCTGTCCACTCTACGTGACTTTTATTAATCTCTTAGTTTTAACACAGGAGATTATCTAGAATTAAAAGCTACCTGTGCTCTCGCAGGTGAGAAAGCACTACTTGGCATATGGACATACATTTATGAAGCTAGGATATGCAGTTGCCTTGGACCTCTTTCTTATTATAGCCATAGAATTGCACTTGTTTTTGAGCCTGCATGTATCTGCCTAGTGCTGTGTTTTTCTATGAAACTAGTGTGAGGCCAGGGCATCTCCTTTCCTTTTCTTTATTTGCTCATAAACATCCTCACCCATCTGGATGAACCTATACCTAGTGATGTATTTCCTTGTAAAACATTGAAAATCAAGGAATTCCTAAGATATTGTTCCTACTCAATACGAGGAGTCCAACTTCAGCAGGCTGCCATCTCACCCCCTGGTGCAACTGGCAGCTGGCAAAAAAGTCATACTCAAAGCGGCATCGCTTTTAGGGACAAATATTGAGATTGTGATTAAATGGATGTTCCGCAATGCAGGCTCAGGGTGAAGTCAGTCGCTAGAAGCTTATTAAAATGGCACAGGTAGTGGAGGCAGGACCTCAGCAGTCTCTAATCTTTTTTAGCTTTGCCAAAATCAGGAGAATTCAGTGAGATAAAGTGTAAAAGTCTGGAATGTACTTAGTAAATAAAAAGTGACCCCAGAGGAAGTCAAAGTAAAATAGAATAACAGTTCAATTTTTCAATTACCTGAACAATCTCACATCATTAATCCTGGGTGCTGACTACCAGCTCCGTATGCTGTGAAGAAATTTCCCTGCTGAATTAGTGTCAAGTGCTGCTCTTAATGCCAGTTTATTTCTAGCTACACTTGATAACATGAACAAACACCCGTTCTCACCCATATAGTGTAATAGGGAAAGTTATACAAGCAGGCGAAGGTTTAGGATGTGTTTTGTTATGGATACATAATTAGAAATAGCTATAAAGGAAAAGTGGCTCAAAATTTTGTAATAAAACCAGTTTTATGAGGAATTGAACACTATTTAGTGGATGCTGTGTGTTACCTTCCTGCTTTGCAGGCTCTGAAAAAAAACCCAACAACTTTTTTTGAAACATTTAACAAGATATTTGTCAAAATGCAGACTTAAAATATGTCTAACATTGTGTTTTCCTGTTATCCTTCCTTTTTCTTTTCTTTCTCTTGATTAACTGAAAGAAATTATTGGTGTCAGGGTAGGGGGAAATTGGGCACTTCCTTTTAAAAAAAATTTATTTTCTTTTCCCTAATTCTGGAAAAGTTACCAAGTGAAAAAGAAAAAAAATAAATGCCAGACTGCCTCTTGTTCTCTGGCACAGAGTGAAGGTAAGAGAGAACAAGGGAAAAGATTATGTAGATTTCAAAATTCAAGATGTAAAATGCTCATCCTGAGGAAAAACCTGGAGAAAAAACGGAAAAACAAAAGGAAAGAAACCCAAAATACTTCTGCATAGAAAATAACATTATTTATTGGGATGAAAAGAGAATGAAAATGTTTTCATCCAGAGTCTCTGATTTGGAAGGGACTTCCAGAAATCAGGCACAGTTCACTCCAGCCCTCGGAAATGGGCTCCTCCACCGTATGTGTCGGCTTCTCTGCCACTGGGACACCTGGGTGGCCGTGGATGTTGTGGGTATCCTCCACCTGTAGCCTTTCTGCTGATGAACGCAAGCCTCGCAGCTTTCCGCATAAATACGGAATGGTCTTTGTTAAAGGTCTTGGTGGGAAGGTTGCCTCGCTGCAGCAGGCGTGGGGATGCTGTGCTCGCACTTGCCAAAACGAGCGCCCGTGCCTGGCACCTCCGTGCTGCCCGGGTGATGCCCTCCCAGTGCTCCTGCAGCTTCTTTTCTTTTCTCTTTTTTTTCTGCGTGCTCCCCAGTTCGAGTGAGGGCTTCGGCGTAGCGGAGAAGATTGTGCTGCTCACCTTCATCTCCGCCGTTATCCTGATGGCCATCCTGGGGAACCTGCTGGTGATGGTGGCTGTGTGCCGGGACAGGCAGCTCAGGTGAGCCCACCCAGCCCACCACTGCCTGCCCTTCCGCGGGGAGGCACAGGGGAAAATCCCTGCCTAAAAAACCCCCTGCCCACAGCTGAGGGCATAAACTGCCGCGACGGAGGGTGTCTCTGGCCGTGCGTTGCACCACGGCAGCATCAGACTCTCACACTGGCCTCAGCGCACCTCCACTCGGATTTACACTGTGGTGGTGGGATCATGTTAGTATCCATCCTCTACGTTTTTAGTGTGCTCAGTGTAAAAATACAAATAAATCAGTGAAAAAGAGAGCTAAGCAGCAATTCCTTGGAGAAGCAGTTTGGCCTCTACCCCTTTTCCATCTCAAATTTCCCAACAAGCCCATCAGAAAACCACACAGATCAAGGTCCTGTTGCAGTTGTGCTGCACTGCCACAGCTTGGCGAATGCTGCCAGTGATTTGAGGGGGTCACAGGCAAAACTCCTGTCTTGAGGCTTGCTGCTACCCCTGGGAGTTGTCAGACCAGCCTCAGGAGTGGAGCGAGATATTCAACAGCTTCTATTCAAATTCTGCGTGGGATTTTTAATGGATTTAATTCTATTTTATTGTTATGGTTGAAAAAGTAGTTTTCAAGTTAAAATTACAGTTTCAGTCTAGATTCTTCTCAATGCTTTCTGGAAGGATTTTCTCAATTTACAAGCTAAAATAAAAACCCTCTCCTCCACCCCAAACTCTCCAATGCAAGCTGTGAGGCTGAGCCGCATGCAGAGGCCTGTGAGCATCTATTTGCCTCTTCTGCGTGAGCAGAAAGATGCATTTATGCAGGGAACATGGTGGATATTTAGCTGTAAAAACAGGAACAAGCTAGGGGTGACCCTATAAAGTGAGGAATACATTAGAGAGGACCTTTTAGTGTGATGGAGCAAATTAGACCCAAACACAAGCTGAAATCTCTGTCCACATGTAGAGGATGCTGCACTGAAACTATTCCACCCTAATTTTGTGATCTGCCTTGCAGGAAAATCAAGACCAATTATTTCATTGTTTCCCTTGCCTTTGCGGACCTGCTGGTGTCAGTGCTGGTGATGCCGTTTGGAGCCATTGAGTTGGTTCAGGACAACTGGATCTATGGAGAGATGTTCTGCCTGGTCCGAACGTCCCTCGATGTTCTGCTCACCACAGCATCAATCCTGCACCTGTGCTGTATCTCGCTGGACAGGTATGAACAGGAGAGAATAGAGAATAATTATAGTTGCTTTAAGTTTCTTCAGTGATGTTGCTCATCAACAGTAGCCAAAGGGCAAATACGAACCCGCTGGAAACTATAGAGCAATAAATCTCTCTCAGTAGCTGATTTTGGAGAGAGCTCTCTGAATCCTCATCAGTGTAGAAAAACTTTGAAAGGAATAAGATTTATATCAATAGAGCAAGCCGGGTTCTCAGCTGCTTTGCGGCACACAGCTCTGTTTGCATTACTGATCAGACATGGCACAGTTTCTTCTTTAAAGTAAAGAAAAGATGCCTTAAAGATGTTTCCAAAGGAAAGACCTGCAGCTGCTGCAGACGGTGCATCGTGCACAGGCTGTTTTTTGAGCAGGGACGTTTCTCTCTGTTACAACGTCAAGTGTTGCTCGCTGCCAGGGGCGGCTTGGCTGGTGAACGGCTTCACGCGTTGTGCTGAGCCCCATCTTCCCAGGGACTGAAACACTAAATTCTCTCGCTTTCTCTCTCTTGTCAAAAAAATATTTGGCATATCTTTCAAGTGCTATCAGAACTGCTCTTCCTGCTGCTAGCAGTCATACTGGCGGATGAAAACCAATACTACTAAATGACACATTGTGACATATATTACTAGATTATATGGAGAAAGAGCAAAAAGAGCAACCCCCCATATTTTATGGGCTGCTTTTCTAAGGCATCCATTTGCACATCTCCACTAGTGACTACTAACAAGGAGGCAAAGCTGGTGAAAAGGGTGCATAGGCTTTGTGGGAGGTCCTAAAAACTTCCTTTTCTTTCAAACTTTTCTTGCAAAATTAAAATGAAGCCAAAATCCTAAATAATTTATGGCAAACAATTCTGTTTTACTGTTGTCTGCAGTTTTTCAGGGTAAATGGCAGGACTTTCCATACAGAATAGCAAGAATTTTTCACAGGATAAATACTTAGAAGAAAACATTTTGTCCGGCTATTCTAATAAGCAATATTTAGAGCTTTCATTTGAGTTCTGTGCGGAGATTTCAATATCTTTAAAAATACTATTACTTAGTATTACTAATATGGCCAAAATAACCATAATCATTCTCATCATCATGACAACTGATATTTAAATAGCATCTTTCATCCAAAGAGTCTGCACCCAGCCAGACTTCAAAAGATACTTGATTAACTTCTCCACTGATGGGCAGCACTCCTTTGTTGTGGGAGAGAGGGGCACTGGCACACGCAGTATTGTATCCAGAGAGAAGCTGACATGCAACAGCCACGGCGCGTTTCCTCATCTGGAAGTTTAGATGGCTGGAACACAACTGGAAGCTCATTATCTTAAAAAAGTTGACAAATTGCCACGTTGAGCCAATTACTAGTAAAGCCCATGTTAAGCACTGCGCTCTGGATGTGGCCTTGTTATATAAAATGTTGGAGTTTGATTCTCCAGGCTCTTAATTAAACATAGGGGGTTGTGTAGAGAAGGGGACATGCAGGGAAAATATTGGTTTCCCCCCTGCCCTTCCGCCCCGATCTCTGACACCCGCAGGGGAGGAGGAACCTCCCATGTGGGGTGCGCAGAAGGGAAGCTCCCCCCTTTCTCCTGCCTATGCCACCCTCGTGCAGACCCCCGCCACGTCACGAGCTCTTGCTCCCGCCGCCTGTCCCCATCGGTCCCCGTGCTCCCGGGACAGCCTTGTCTGGGGGTAGCGAAGGGGTTGGGGGCAGCCTTGGCTCTACCACTGTCGAAACGCAGGGCTCAGGGTTAATGTATTAGGGATATAGAATAGAGATCACAGTTTTATACAGGATGATTTTCTTTCTGTGAACAGACCTGAGGCAGAGTTTGCGAACACCCAGCTGAGTAGAAGGAACTGGAAATGAAAAACAAAACCACAAACCAACAACTTAAAAAAACCCTAAAATGAGATGGATTAGATTATTTTGTACTAAATGAAATATCCAGAGCAGAGTGTGAACACCTGTAGAGGACTACAGCTCTGCTCCTGCTTCTATGCTCTTTTATTCTCTGCCCAAGGAGTCTTGAATTCTCCCCACAAGACCAAGCCCTGCCGTAGCAATGGGTGAACATTGCTGCCTACAGTAATGCACAGATGATTCCCCTTCTTTTGGACAGAGGGAAATGGGGAGCTGAGTCTGGGGACCCCCACTCCATTCCCCCATCCCAAGCCAATGCTTTAATCACTAGAATACTACACAAAAGGGGAGAACGGCTGTCTTGAAAGAAGGCAGGAGCTGTAACTGTGTTTTGGAGGAAACTAATTCTCTAAGCTTGTTCCACATGTGTTCTGAGAAGGTTTGGGGAAGGTGCAGCAGCCCCTGCACTGGCATCTGAGGCTGATGGGCACTGCACTTGAATGAGTCCCATATCAGCATTGTTCCATTTAATTGGCTCTGCCTTCTGTGATAAAATTATCCTGCTTTTAAAGATTTCTGCTTACTGAGTGTGTATTTGAACCTGTTTCTGGTACAGGAACATTCTTCCTATTTCTTCAGAATTAAAGAGATTCTTTAAAGTAGAATGAAAAAATGACACACACACTGGCTAAAAAAAACCCCATCCACCAATCTTGGTGCCAAGCTGATCAAAATAAAGTGCTTAGAGCTCTGAATTTGAAGTTCCCAAGAGCTGGAACTCATCTTAAGTGTCACAGCAAAAAAAAAAAATCTTTCAGAAAATAACTGTAAACTTTTTTGTCATGAATGCACTGACAGAGAGAAATCCCCCAATATTTGCCATCCCCCCCAATATTGGCCATGTTAGACTAAACTGCAGTCAAATTGCTTGAAAAAAAGACAAGAATTAATTCATTAATGAGTGATGGGTGTGTTGAAAACCTCTGCAAGTTCAGGGGTGAGGGAGCAGAGCCGTGCTGTCTGGGATACAGAAACACAGCAGTAATTTTTGACAGCTGACAAACCTGAAATTGGCAGATATCAGAGAATTATTTCAGGACACACAAATGCTCTTTCTCTTTCACATGTGTTTACCATACATGTGCTGTTCTTTGCTCTCAGGCAGAGAGAGAGAAAAGGTTCTCCAAGCTGGTGGCTGGATGCAGCCTGACATGGATAATTATTGCAGCCTTTATCGTTTGCTTGTTGCTTTCACGCTGAAGAATGATGCCTCTGCGGACTAGCTGCAGAGCTGATCTAAATTTTAGGTAATTCTCTGGTACTGTGTTTTTCTTGTTTCTTTTCTCAGAAAGGCTCTGAGTGCTTGTTAGAGCAGTGACCACCACACACACCACCACTGGCAAAGCACTAACAGCAACATCCCTCAAACAGGCTGCTCCTCTCCAAAGGCACTTGAATTTGTCATAGAAACTTTTCTCTATCATCTAATCTCTGCAGGGCATATATAGCTCTCCTAGCCATTCAGTCTTGCTGTGGAATTTCATCTTGAATGCTGTTTTGACTCCATGGGTAATCATTTGTAGCTTTGCCACTGACATGAAAAAAGCCAGGATTTCATCTTAGACGTTTCAAAAGGTATATTTCTTCTCCTAGTACAAGAAAGCACAATTATGTCTGTGTTTGCTGACAGTGAGTGTCAGCTGAAAGACGAAGCCCAAGATCTCTCTGTCTCATGTGAAGAGGAGAATTCCAAGTCAACTGCGTGGCTTTCATCACTTTCTGTTTGATCAGACACCTCAGTATGAATCTGATTGAGTCTCAAGATTACGGGCTTCTGGGTTCTCCCAGGACCAAATGTCAAGTTCAGACTACCCACCGTGGTGCTCGAGACAGACCAAGGTGCCTCCTGTAGCACTGGACTAGCTCTCCTGAGCCGCTGTAAATGAAAATATTGTGGAGGTGGGTCAGTCCCTAGTCATCTTGCTCTCTTAAAGCTGTATTTCTTCCTCTGATTGATTGACTGACTGATTAACATGATTTTCAAAATACAACTTAAGGACAACACTAGGGTACTGTAGCCATCACTGAAGTTGTTTAACATCCACCTGGACATCATTCTTGAGCACCAAAACGGTCCTAATCTGACCAGGAATTTCTGTGCTAATTCATGAGCAATTTTGTGTCCCAAACAGTCTATTAAAAAGACTTTCTTTCTTCCTGAATTACCACTGAATATGTTATTTCACATTTCTGCAGTGCTTGCTCGCTGGCGTGCTCTGGCAGCCTGATTAGGTAAATCAGAAAACATTGTATAAAAGCAATTGCTTTCCCCCACACAAGCAGCAGACCTTGATGCCTGCAGATCCAAAACCTGATACCCCTTAGCTAGCAACACTGTCAGGTCTAAACATCCACAAAGACCAAGGACATTAATTTTTTTTCCTACTGGGCCTGTTTAATAAACCATTTTCTGATTGAAATAAAACATGAGGTCTTTCCCTCCATCTCTCAGAGGAGGCATTTGGGTGGAAGAAGACAGGGAGAACATAGACATTTTGATTTTGGCCCTTACCACATCCCTAAGGACATGCTGTGGTCTCTTCCTTGCTGCATTGAGGGTAATATTACACTTGTGCCATGTCATGCTGTGGGTCACCTGAAGTCCCACTTCACTCCTGTGTCCTCTTCACAGAGATTAATTCCCTTCTGCAGCCATGAATTTGGATGCTGTTCCAAACATCCTCAGCAAGCAGGACAACATGGATTTTCAACACAGCTTGGATGGAGTGGTGGATACAGAATAATAGATTCATTTTCCATACCAAAAGAAGGCTAAACCCCACCATGTAAATCTGCCTTTTTCTCCTTCCTGATCTGCCAGCCCCTTGCTGTGACTGTCCTGGGAGCATCACTTCCAGATGTGTCTTGGTCTGTGATCATCCTGAGAAGGGCAAGGAGAAAATTTCGACCTCACTTCATGTCACTGCTAGGGATGAAAAGTGAAAATATCCACACTTTAGTCACATTTGAATAGATACGAGTACAAAAATTTTCTAAATTCCACCTATTTCTTGAGCACTTTGCCAATTTTTAAAATCCTTTTCCTTTTGCAGGCTGAACTCAAAAAGTTGTGCTG